ATACTTTTCTATATATCAAGTTGCTGCATATATAAAAATTATGTTATCAAGACTCAAATATCAGAAAGGCACACGCCCTTCTTCCAAAGATAGAAGAGCATTTACTTACCTCACAATCAACCTGCATTGTAGACCTGTGGCTATAAAGCCACAATTCGCTTCGGTTAAACTGCTCTAATGGGTGTGAGAGCACAAAGACCTTTTGAGAGCAGTAAACTGAAAGCCGAACGCAACCCTGGGTGTGCAACATTTGCACACGATACAACAAACAACAAATAACAACAACAACAACAATTACAAAAGCAAAGAACAACAATGAGATGCCTATCGAAGCCTATAAATAAATTTGCCATAGCCAAGTCAAAAGCAATATACAAAAGGCAACAAACGGCGAAAATATTTGAAAATTAATGCAAAGACATACACATACACACACACACACACATATACACACACTCAAACAGGGAGGCAAAGCACGCATACGCCGTGTATGACGACGGTATAAGATAAGGGACTGAGGAAAAGCAATAAAAACCGTCAAGTTGGCAACATTGACGGCATCGAGTGGGACGAGCGGAGTCTAACGCTTTACGACCACAGACGATGTCAACAAATAGCGCAAATACTGGCACAGCGAACGCATCGGGTATGGGCATCTTCACCTGCGGCCTAAAAGTATGCAATAAAAAGGCAGCCGCTATCGTCGCAGCCATTGCGACTGTCGCCGCTTTGCATTAGTCCTGCGAGAAAGGACTTTGGCTGCGTTTCTTTTGATGCCCTGTACAATGTGGTTATCGAACGAACGATCCATTTCATCAAAGTGCGTATGAAATACTTAACAAATATTGTATATCTAGAGGAGAATCTCAGCAATTTGAATTCTTATTTAATTTATTTATTATCTATTTTTTTATTCATTAAATATTTGAAAACCTTAATTTTTTAAGATGTTAGGCTTTAAGTTGAAAGAGGAAAGTTGATCTTAATTAATGTAAGTCAATTTTTATAAAATTACTTTTTTTTCTCAATTGATAAAAATTGAAAATAATGTATAATTAAAATTATTTTTAAAAGTAATATTTATATTATGTACATACATACATTATATATGTGCGTTATCTCAAAGCATCGCTATTTATTATTTTTTTTTTTATTTCATTTTAATTTCTATATTATCGAGGGCTTTATCCTATGGTATCAACGTCTTCTGTCACCATTGGCATTCACAATTCTTACACTGTTTGCAATGCGCTTTTAATTTGACCGCGTCTGGCGGCAACGATGTCGTCCTTTTCCTTTGCCAGCGCAGCGGCGCAGAAACTTAATTTTCCCACTGTAGCTGCTGTTGTGGTTGTTGCTCATGTTGTTGCTCTTGCTGCTGCTGCTCTCGTTGTTTTTGTTTTTGTTGTTGACTTGCGTTTTTGCATTGCAGTGCAAAGTTTGCGAATCGCTAAAACTTTAGCCATTTCTTGTTCGCTTTTTTTTTTTGGGTTGCAACAATTTCCAGAACGAGGCTATTTGTTGCTTCGCTGGGCCAGACGACGGCAACATCAACGAAAATGTCGCCCAAAACCAATCATTTCCTTTATTCTCAGACCATCGCCTGCCGCCGCCGACGACGACTCTTTCTTTACTATCTCTCAGCGGATGTCTTACTAAGAGGGCAACATTTTAATATACTTGTGGATGGCAGCCATTGGCTCACTGCCATTTAAGGCGCCCTCCCATGCTCTCTCTCTCTCTCAGTGTGTCACGCAATTTTCTTACTAAAAGAAAATTTTATTTCGCTTGGTTTTTGGTTTCGCCTCGGCGTCGTTTTTCATTTCATCGAGCGGACGGGAGAGCGCGCGCGCGCGCCCTGTTTATGAACTGTGCTGCCCTTAAATTGTCTTTATGCCATGGGCCAACTGCATGCCACTTAGACGTTGTCTTTTGACCCAGCCTGCTCGCTGTTTAGCTTTCCTTCATTTTCTTTTCGACTTTATTATGTGATCCCGTTTCACGATTCGCCCTTTTTCTTTTTTTTTTTGCTAATATTTTGCGTTTTTGGCAAAATGACATCCTTTGGGTAAGCTGGCAGTGCCTCGAAATTTTTACTTAAATTTAGTTCTGTGTATTTTCGTGACTCCTTTGGCCCGCTAACTGCATACTTTGCCGTAGTTTCCTCAGGGAAATTAAAATGTGCTCAGAGAATAATTTGAGTACATTTGGTGGCTATTGCACTTCCTTTTTGTATGCCCTTTAACAGAGGTACACAATGGGCTATTCCAAGCGGTTCTACAATGGATTTTCTTTGCCCGCAAGAATTTATGGCGAAATGTTTGTTTTCATGTTTTGTTAGGTCTAAATAATAACAAGGATTATATAAAAATATTGCCTTACATTTTGCGATATAAATGAAAAAAATAGTTATAATATTTGTATTTTAATTTTCGTCATATATATTAAATTTATGACAGATTTTAATAACTAAAGACGTTTTATCAATTTCGTTCTCTAAAATTCCAGAGATTTTTTATTAATTCATTGCCAATGTAACTCTTCCTCTTCCATCTGCTCTTAGCATTCATATCAGAGTGAAGACAAAAAACTTTAATAAAAACTGCTTTTTGAACGTATTCGCTGACTGGCTGAAATTAAACACAGTTTCGGCGATATTTTTTGTATTCTCTCTCTCTGCAATGTGGCTTCCACCCGTTGTCTCTATTTGTGCATGTCAAACAGCGTTTCATTGACTTTTGCAATTTTTCGAGCGTTATGTTTCACAAGGGCACATATTGGAGCAAGCGTGGCAAAGGAAAATATCAAACGATTCGCGTTGATTTCTCTGTCACATATGGAAGCCAATGAAGTGAATAGTGAATTCTAGGAACTTGTGGAAAAACCGAAATACAAATTTGCAAATGAATGTTAAAAATTATATGTTTTTTAAATTTATTTAAATTTATTTGAAATGCTCAGATTTTATCTGTATACTTTATCCAAATTAAATTACTTCATCTTCTTTCTGTCATTTTCCTCCCTAATATCCATAGCCGGTTTGACGTTCTGTTTCTCTTCTGGGTCCACAGAATTTACGTACTTATACCATATAACAGATAGACAACCCAGAATAATACCAAGCATTACGCCAATACCACATATACAAACATAAAACGCCATACGATAACCAGCATTCAACAAATGTTCCAAGAAATCTATTATCGGCTGCACCACATAAAAGCAAATCACTTCAATCGGATTTAGTAACATTTTGATACAATTTCTCCTTTTTTTTCGTGTTCATTAACAAATAGTTTAATTCTGTAAAACTCAAAGACTGTGTGATTAGTAATTCTCATCTAGAGAAACATACATATAAATCACATTTTCGTTTCCAGTTATGAACGATCAGAGCAAACATTTCCTGAACTGAATAACTATTGAAAAATTTAAGTTGTCAAATTATTCGTTTATCATGGAGTTCCAGGAATACTTGCACAAGCAATTGGCCATTTTCAATTACCATTTGCACTCGGACTACGGATTGTTAATCAAGACAGCGACTTGCATTGCATTTGGCGCCGTCTGTGGCTGGATTATGGGCCTCATCACATTGTTGCTATACAAAATAGCGAAATGGCAGCAGATTTTTCCAACCACTGTCTACAATTATCAGGATGATGATATCGACTTGGATGTGGATACTGATAGAACTGGGTATAACATTCCGTTGCATGATTCTGAAAGTGATAGGCCTTTCTATAGAGGTCTCTAATCATTTGGCACTGGTAAAGGCAACATCGCTGACAGAATCGCTTGTCATTGATCTCTTAAGTGTATGTGTGTGTGTGTGTGTGTGTGTGTGTGTGTGCATTTATGTATGTATTTGTGTTCGTTGCAATTTAAAAGAACTTCAGCAACAAATTAAAATGCACTTGCCCAACTCAACTGCCTCTTAGACTGTCTCGAGTGTGCGGCAGATTTCAAGTTGAAAACAGTAGCTGAAAAATTTGCCGCAAAGTCATTAGCAGAATTCTCATATACTGGTTCGATGTTGCAACGTTTAAATTCAATTACTCATACGCTCATACGCATATATGTATGTATGTATGTAACCGCCACATGAAAAAGATGCTCCTCCACTCGGGGCATGTGTGTTTGCTTTGAATATGGCCACAGGCTCGAAATATTTAATAAACCATATATCTTTTCTTTTCGCCTGCACAGCATTTGCTGTGCTGCTGTGCAAAATTCTACTTGCTTCTGTTGGTCTCCTCCTGCTGTTGATTTTTCACAAATAGCCGGAAGCTATTTTTTCCACAAATTCCATATTATATATTGGCTGTCTTTTACCGTGACTGTTTCGTGGGGGTATTGAAGGTCATGACTGGATTTGAAATTAGCCTTAAAGCTTACTCAACTTGTGCTTTTATATATTCGTACATACACATATATATATACATATGTATTGTTGTTGTTTTGTTATTGTCAGTGATTGGCTGCTGCCAAAGGTTATATTTTATGAATTGCAAATTTTCACGCACATTTCTTTTGCAGAAATTCAAAAACGAAAATATCAAGAAGAAATCAACATGTTCCAGAGATATAGAAATAAATTCACAAGCTCATACGATGCTTAAGACATACAAAGGCGAATGAATATATTTGTATATGCTCAGGAATATGTCCGTCGTCGAATCAATATTGTATCTATACATTTTCAATTGGAAAATCATAACAAATATAGTAAATGTTTACTTCTTGAGTAAACCGAAGAGTATATGGAGAGGTTTGCATACTACAAAAATTTAATAAAATCTCTTATGAAAATAGAATCGGAGCTCTGCTTTTATGAATAACCCTTTTTTAATATATATATATATATCAATTGTATGTACAGTTAACACCCACTAGAGCTCACTTTTCATGCAGAACTCTATCCGCAGCTATTAGCCTACTTTCACCAATTTGGCAACGTCGCATGTTCCATTGTTATTTAAAGACCATTGTCTATGCAAGCACTTGAGAAATGCTTACAACATTTCAGAAACAGACTTGGAGAGATAGCGCGACGAGAGCTGCGACTACGACAACCCCAATTTTTGGGGAAAGCGAGTTATAATTGCAAAAATGTAACAATGAATTGGGCGGAGAGGGCGGTACGGTGCGGCTGCGGGTCACCGCCATACTGCGGTTAGCATGAAAGAGAATCAGAAAGTGAATAAAAGGCGGGGTTGCGTTCGCATTTAATCACCCAGCCAAAACGCCTCCACTCACTACAAGAGCGCGCAATTCATTCAGTGGATGCTGCCGCTGAATGCAGAGCTTAAGTCTTAGGGCGTCATCGCTACCCTTTCTTTCGAGGGTGTTGTCTGCCTTCCAAATGCGCTTAGGGTGTCATAGCCTGCGATTTCGTCGTAGCCGTCGTTCTATACGGGACATAGAACAGCTGTCGACACGACAACAAATTCCAAATGCAGCTCCCGAAAAAAAAACACACTTTCCCTGTGCCTTCACAGAGACCAAAACAAATCCAGCCGTGTGCATGGAAATACGACTTAATTGATACATAAATAACAGGACACACCTGACGGACATTGCTCGACTGTGAAATACCCTCCGTTACCCTTAAGGCAAATAATGCAAACAAACAAAAAAAAAAGTATATATATATATGTATATATCAAGATTGCATATTTTTTCAAATTTATTTTTAATTTATTGAGCCACTGTTAAGTGTGTAATATCCCTCTTCACAATTGCACTACAGGGTATTAGGATATCAAACCAGACAGTCAAAACTCCCCAAGCCTTTAGCCATCATAATGCGAGCAGGTTGTGGATTCATTAAGGTTTTTCATTTCATTGAAACATGAGAATTTTTCACATATGAATGCGGTGTCGTAGAAATAAATATATATGTATTTATATTTATATTTCTATATTTTTCCTGTGCCGCGCATAATGAAGCTGACGGCTTAGATGGCATGGGATTGCATTGCTTGTATGTAGTTGTTACCCAGGCAACGGCTCAGTATGCTTTCCTCTTTCGTTTTCGTCTCCTTTTTTCTCTCTCTCAGCAACAAGAATTGCATTTTCCGGCGCTCTCATTTCCATTGGGGAAATGGCACTGCCAAAGTATTTTACACGACTGGGATGCTCGTCTGCCTCTCTTATTTCTTTGGTGCATTGAACCTAATCGCACTCATATTTTCGTCTGTATATGCGGTTCACTTGCTGTGCGACTTTGCTTTTTGCAATAATTTTATAGGTTCAAACTCTCGCTCTGCGTGTGTTTGTGTGTGT